CCTCAGCCCGGTCACAAAGCCTCCCCTTGGCTACCAGCCCACACGCAGACCCCCAGGCCAGGCTCCGCAGTCACCAGCCCGCGGGAGCCTCGCCCAGCCCCCTCGGCGGGCCTGGACCATGTGGCCAACGGGAGACGCTTCCCGTCGGCATAGGGAGCGTCTTCGCTGAGGGCTTGACTGTACCTAGCTGTGCTGCTGTGGCACGTACTGCTGCAGCCAGAGCCCTGGGCCATTTAAATCGCTGCCAGAGCCTTGTGCAGCACTGAGGGCTGGCTGGGGGAGGCACAGCACAGTCCAGGTGCTGTTGGGGGTTCGCTGCCCTTAACCCTGCCTCTTCCATCCAAATCCCTGCCCTTCCAGGGGCCCAGAGCCAAGCCACCCCCAATTTGTCTAGGGCCCTGCAACATCTGTCACCAACCATGCCTAGGGGAGAGCTTGTGCCAGCATAGCGAATGCACCTCGCACTCACAGGTAATGACCCCTGGACTTAGTGTTCCCATTGACATAAGCCCTCCCATTGACATAGTGCTGTCTATGCTGGGGGTCAGACTGGTGAATTTTCCACATCGGTAAGTGATGTAAATAAACCATAAATTTGAAGTGTAGATCAGAGCTAAGCCTACAGCTGCCAGCTGTGCCACTGTTGTGCTATGAATGTAGACAAGCCCTAATTGTTGAATGTTGTGATGACTAGGTCCCCTTTGTGACTCCAGCTCCTGGTTATTGTAGGCCCAACCTGCACTGTTTGGACCCTGACTTCCCCATCATTCAGTGGTAATCAGATTCAGGGTTCTGGTTTGGGCACAGAATGCAAAGTTCCTCAATGTTTGCAGCTGGGGAGGGAGCCAGCCCTTAGCAGTGCCCGGACCATGGTGTACTCCCCACCCCAGGGCCAAATGGAGTGTGAGGAACTGCACTCCAGCAGCGATTCAAAGGAGTCTGGGGCTCTAGTCATCATTGCTGCTACTGTGGCAGCAGTGGCAGCCAGAGCCTCAAACCCATTTGAATCGCCATGCCCCAGGGCAACTGCCCCCTTTGCCTTCCCCTGTTGGCAGGCCTCGACACTGACCCTCATCATAACTCCCATCACTCCAGCCCTATCACTCTAATCCAGGGCCCAGTGAGGAGAGGAAACCCTTTGGGAGAGGGACTGGAGAGCAAGCTGACCGGATAGTCACCCCACAGCAGTGGACTCTCTCTCATGGGAGAGGAAAAATAGGGCCATGCCTGAATGATGCTATGGTCCCCATATTCCAGCTTGCAATGCCCAGATGGCCATGCATTCAGATTCTGTGGGTGCAGTTGAACTCATGACCCCACACTAAAGCTGCCCCATGCATAATTAATCTGAAAGCATTTGGAAATGGCATTCCACAAAAATAAATATAAGTTCTAAACAGGGTTTTTGCTCATTTGTAAAATGCAGCAATTTGGGGTTGATTATTTAATAATAAAAAGCAATTAATAATAAAATATTAATAATAAAAATACATATATAACTTTTATATAGCACTTTTCATCAGTAGGTCACAAAGAGATTTACAAAGGAGATCAATATTATTATTCCTATGTTACATATTGGGAAACTGAGGCACAAATAAGAAATTACTTCCCCAGGGTCATCCAGTAAACCATAGTGATTTAACAGTGCATAGTGATAGCATATTTCAGGTTAGGACAGGAAGTGAAGCTTCCTGGCAAATAGACCAATATAATAGAATTTGTTCATGACATACAGATTTAGTTGATTATATTTAAACTTTTAAAAATCACGATATTTATATACTTACTAATATTGGATCAATGAACAATCTTTAATATATTTATCTTCACAACATCCCTGTGAGGTAGAGAAGTACTGTTATCCCCATTTTACAGATGGAGAACTGAGGTACAGATAGTAAGGCTATGTCTACACTTAAACTGAACAAAAGCACAGCTACAGTTATGCATTTGTAGCACGTTAGTGCAGAATGAATGGTCCAAATAGGAGAGGCAGACCCCAAAGAGAATGGGTAGATGATATAGTAGATTGGTGCTGAGCTAGTTTATAGAAACTAAGCCACTCCGCACTGGACAGGGAAAGATGGAAGGAAATAGTGAGGGAGGCATGGGCGTTGAGCCCATGGTTGTTGATGATGATCAGGGCTCGACAATGCAATGTGTAGATTACAACCCAGAAGAGCCAGGTTCAGGCGAGCCCTGATGATGATTATGAGTGCAGACACTCACTTCAAGGATGGAAAGGATTCTCCCACCACTGTAGTTAAACCTCCTACTTGTGAGATGGTGGTTAGGTTGACAAAATAATTCTTCCATCAACAAAGGTCTGTCTATATTAGGGCACGTCTACCCAGCAGGGTTAAAGCTTAAATAAGCTACGCAACCTTAGCTACGTCAATTGCGTAGCTTAAGTCAAAATGGCTTATTTTGGCTTTTGGTACTGTCTACACAGCAAGAAATCTGAGGGAGAACATTATTCCTCTGACTTCCCATACTCCACCTAAAATGAGGGTTACAGGAGTTGGAGTAAGAAGTCCTCCAGCTCGATATTATTTTGGCCTGGGGTCGGGGCACATGCCAGTGCCGGCCCCGGGCGTGCGAGCGGCCCCGCCCTCGGACGCACAGCGCGTGAGCGGCCTCACCCCCAGACGCCCGGCAGCCCCAAAACGTTGGGGACCACTGCATTAGATCATCAGTGTTCTTGCGCAAATTCAAAGTGGACAGTGTAGAGAGCTGGCAAGTTGTTCCTCAAAAGCAGCCACTTTTGCGGAAAAACTTGTCAGTCTAGACGCAGCCTTAGAGTTTAAATCAACATAAGTAGGTCTCTGACGGCATGTCTACACTAGGAAATTATTTCAAAATAATAATGTCCAAAATGACTAGTTAGAAATAGCATGTCCACACTACAGGGAAGCCTCAAAATTAGTCCAAGGCAGACTCCCTTAATGTGGACACATTACCTTGACCTACAGTCCCAGGAAGCACTGCAGAGTAATTACTTTGAATGACTCTGGGGAGTAGTTATTTCAAAATAACAGCAGTGGAATATCTATACTATTGCTGTTTCAAAATAAATATTTCAAAATAAGTGTTGTTCCTCATGGAAAGCAAGAGTTATTATTTCCAAATAACTAGATCCTTATTTTGAAATAACAGCCTTGGTAGTGTGGATGCTCCATTTGGGATGTGGATTTTTCACACCCCAGAGAGATACAGCATTGCTGCTATACATTTCCAGTACAGATCAGCCCTAAGGGTGCATCTTCAGTGCACCCTAATCTTGAAATAAGCTATGTAATTTGTGCTAATTGTGTAGCTTATTTCGAGGTAATTTCAAAATAGCTTATTTCAAAATTGCTGTCTATACAGCACCAAATTTCGAAATAACTCACTATTCCAAAATGCCACTTAACCCTCATGGTACGAGGGTTACCGGGACGTCGGAATAAGCCATCTGTTATTTTGAAATCTATTTTGAAATAATAGGCTGTTTCAATAGATGCAGAATACCTATTTTGGGATACTTCCGGTATCCCGAAATAGCTCCACAGCAGGGGCGGACATAGGGCAGGGCGAACGGGGCATGCGCCGTGGTAAAGGGGGGGCCCCGCGGAATTATGCTGCCCGGGGCCCCGCAAAATGGTCATCTGCCTCTGCTCCACAGCCTAAGTGACCTGGCCAAGGCAGGAAGTCTGTGGCAGAGCAGAAAATGGTCTTTAATCTCCTAAATTCTAGGTTAGTGCTCTAGGGTCAGGGCCATCCTTCCTGGCAACAGAGTCTGGCATGAGCAATGATTTTAGGATCAAGTCCCAAGAAATAACCAAACAATAGCGAAACAGTGGAATAGTTGAAAGTAGAAACCTGGGGTCATGCTTCTCAGTCACCACACTTTACTTTAACTTTATTCTCAAGCACTTACACACATCTGCATCAGGTTAGTAAACCACCCCTCCCCACCCCCCGATAGTTACTGAAGTTGTGTGTGGCTCTCGAGTGACACCGGACAGGCTTCCAATGGCCAGTCTTCCATCAGCTGGTAGGGATGAAGATCTGTCCAGATGTGAAGAGTCCTCAAGGAGTCCTCGAAGCGTTCCTTCAAGTGTTTCCCAAAATTGTCCCTCCTAACTCAACCTTTAAAAAGTGCTTGCCTAACAAATTTTTGAGTGACATGTTATTGGAATACTAATGGATAAATAGGGAACGAAAGTTTAAGCAAGAGGTAGCAGACCAGGGAGACCCGAGCAAAGATGCGCAGGTGGAGGGACCCTGCTGCCCGTGCGGCTTTGCTCCCGTCTCCCTGGGGTGCTGGGGGGGGTCCTCCCCAGCACACCAGGGAGACCCGAGCAAAGCCGCACAGGCGGAGGGACCCCACCGCCCGTGTGGCATT